TGTATATTCTTGCCTCCTTTATCAAAGATAAGGTGACCATATGTGCATGGGTTTATCTCTGGGCCTTCTATCCTGTTCCATTGATCTATATTTCTGTTTTTGTGCCAGTACCACACATCTTGATTATTGTAGCTTTGTAGTATAGTCTGAAGTCAGGGAGTCTTGTTTCCTCCAGCTCCGTTTTTCTTTCTCAAGATTGCTTTGGCTATTCGGGGTCTTCTGTTTTTCCATACAAATTGTGAAATTTTTTGTTCTAGTTCTGTGAAAAATGCCATTGGTAGTTTGATACCATTTTTTTTTCTCAAGATTGCTTTGGCTATTCGGGGTCTTTTGTTTTTCCATACAAATTGTGAAATTTTTTGTTCTAGTTCTGTGAAAAATGCCATTGGTAGTTTGATAGGGATTGCATTGAATCTGTAGATTGCTTTGGGTAGTATAGTCGTTTTCACAATGTTGTTTCTTCCAATCCAAGAACATGGTATATCTCTCCATCTGTTTGTATCATCTTTAATTTCTTTCATCAGTGTCTTATAGTTTCCTGCATACAGGTCTTTTTTCTCCTTAGGTAGGTTTATTCCTAGGTATTTTATTCTTTTTGTTGCAGTGGTAAATGGGAGTGTTTTCTTAATTTCTCTTTCAGATTTTTCATCATTAGTGTATAGGAATGCAAGAGATTTCTGGGAAGCACAGATTCTTAACCACGGGACCGCCAGGAAAGTCCCTAGTTTTCTCTTTTTACAGTTTATAAAATAACCCTGAAACACCAAGAACACATTAAATCATGTTCCATAGACTGTGAGAAGTTAACCAAGTATGTATTTCATTTTAGAAAGCTTTCTGTGCAAGCTTTTTAAAAAGTTTTGGTATCTAAAAACTTTAGCTACAATTTCTGGCTGCTTTATTATGTATAGCACCTTTTCCTGATATACCAAATAAATGAAGCATTATCTCATACACACCTCTCCTCAGATATTAATTAAAGCCTATTACAGTTCACAATGGCGATCTGTAAGACATGTAATCAGCCGCTATTGAGCTATGTGACCTTGGGAATTTATTTCTTGTTCTGTAAAATGGTAGTGATAATTGCCTCCCTTTACATCATACATTTCTAAAAAATGTAAAACACACAAAACGTTAAAATTACCATCTTAATTATTTTTGAGTGTACAGTGCTATTAAATACATTCACATTTTTGTGTAACCATCACTGCTGTCCATCTATAGGACCTTTGATCTTCCCAACCTGGAATTCTGTACCCAGTAAGCATTAACTCCTTGTTTCCCCCTTCTCTAGCCTTTGGCAACTACCATTCTATTTTCTGTCTTAATGAATTTAACTACTCTAGGCTCCTTATTTAAATAGAATCATGAAGTATTTGTCTTTTTTGGGACTGCCTTACCCTTAGCATAATGTCTTCAAGGTTCATCCACGGTGTAGCATGAATAAGGTTGGTTTTTTTTAATGTCTTTTTTGGAGTATAATTGCTTTACATTGTGTAAAGTTGTGTTAGTTTCTGCTGTATAACAAAGTGAATCAGCAGTACGTATGTATGTATATCTCCATATCCCCTCCCTCTTATGCCTCCCTCCCACCCTCCCTGTCCCACCCCTCTAGGTGGTCACAAAGCACCGAACCGATCTCCCTGTGCTATGCAGCTGTTTTCCCCTAGCTGTCTGTTTTACATTTGGTAGCGTATGTGTGTCAGTGCTACTCTTCCACTTTGTCCCAGCTTACCCTTCCCCCTCCCCGTGTGCTCAAGTCCACGAATAAGGTTTTTAAGGCAGAAAAATACTGCATCGTAGGACTAGACCACACTTTATCTGCTCATCTGCAGGTGGACACTCAGGTTGCTTCCACTTTGTGGCTATTATGAATAATTCAGCTGTGAACGTGGTTATATAAATATTTCTTCAAGTTCCTGCTTTCATTTGGGTATATACCCAAATGAACGGGAATTGCTGGATCATGTGGTAATTCTATTTTTAATCTTTTGAGGAACTGCCATATTGTTTTTCATTCTCCAGCCCCTGACAACCACTGATATTTTTACTGTTTTCATAGTTTTGACTTTTTCATAATGTGATATTGTTGGAATCATACAGTATGTAGTCTTTCCACATTGGGTCTTTCATTAAATATGCATTTGAGGCTCCTCCATGTCTTTTGTCGCTTAATAGCTAATTTCTTTTAGTACTGAATAATACTGCATTGCCTGGATATACCAGTCTATCCATTCACTTATTGAAGGACATCTTGGTTGCTTTCAGGTTTTAACAATTATAAATAATGATGCTGTAAGCATTTAATGTGTGAGTTTTTGTGTGGACTTAACTTTGCAAGTCCTTTGGGTAAATTCCAAGGAGTGTCATTGTTGGATTGTATGGTAAGAGTATGTTTGGTTTTGTAGGAAACTGTCAAAGTGTCTTCCAAAGTGGCTGTACCATTTTGCAAACCTATCAGCAATGACTGAGAGTTCCTCTTGCTCTACATCGTCATCAGCATTTGGTGTTACCAAAGAATACTAGATTTGGGCCACTCTTATTGCTTTGTGGTGGTATCTCATTGTTTTAATTTGCATTTCTGTGGTGACACATGATGTGGTGCATCTTTTCATATGCTTATTTGCCACCTGTATATCTTTGATGAGATGTCTGTTAAGATCTTTGGCTCATACTTTAATTGGATTGTTTGTTTTTGTACTGCTGAGTTTTAAAAGTTCTTTGTATATTTCCCATAACAGTCCTTTATAGAATATCTTCTGCACATATTTTTCTCTTACTCTGTGGCTTGTTTTCCGAGTCTCTTGGCATTGTCTTTTGCAGAGCAGAAGTTTTTAATCAAGTTATCTTATTATTTCTTTCATAGATTATGCCTTTGGTTTTGCCTTTGCCCATTTTTTAATCAGGTTATATTTTTTGTTCTTGTGTTATGGCTAGTTATGATATATGGAGTTTTGATATCATGACTAGATCTTCACACGTATAAATCGTATATGTGAAAGTTCTGAAAATTATAATGTCTGTATGTATAAATTAAGTAGTGATTATGGTTGTGTTAACTTTCTTCCTTTCTCTCTCTCTTTCTTTCTCTTTCTTCTTTCCGTACTTTTTTTCTTCTTTCTTTCTTTCTGTCTCTCTGTCTGTCTCTCTGTCTGTCTGTCTCTCTCTTTCTCCTCTCTCTCTCTGTCTCTTTCGCATTTTTTTGAGATTAGCCCCAAATCCACTGAACAGGAGGGGAAAAATTTTAAAAGTAGAACACTTTGGGGGTTATGTAGAAGAAATTAATTTGTAAAATTGGAATTCATTGTGCTTGGTACAATTGGTACTTGTAGACAGTTTTGGAATGAATGTGTGGCAAACAATTGGCCAGTGTTAGGGCCTTGAAAATAGTTCCATTTGTTTAATTACTCCCATGTTGATACACTTCATAATCCCGAGCTGTAACTAATAAATAAGAGACCACTTGAGAAATAAACATTTGGCAAATAAAATATATGAGTATGTAAATATATAAAATCTGTGTCAATTGTGACTCACTAGGTGTACTTCATAATTGCAGTCAAAATAAAGAATATGACAAGAAAGATGGAAGACCTGTTAGGAGAGAATTATGATACTTCACTGAATGATGTAAGGGATTTGAATGTTTGAGTGGACAAACCATGTGCCTAGGTGGAGAGACTTGGTTAAGTATCAAGAGTTGATAAAGGGCAGTTAGTATTTTAACAGAATTATTAATTTCTAAAGTTTATTTCAAATGTGAGAGATGTAACACATTCCTGAACATTCCAACTTCTTGATCTGCTCTATAGAATAATATGTAGGATAAGCTACAGTAATGCATGTAGTCCTAATTTATTTCCAATTAGAAATAAACAGACTAATGGAAAAGAATTGAAGGCTCAGATATAGAACTGTCTCTATATGGAATTTGGCGTATCACATCAATCTAGTTAGGAAAGTGTGGATTTTTAAATTAGGAGTGAGGGCATCCCTGATGGCGTAGTGGTTAGGAATCCGCCTGCCAATGCAGGGGACACGGGTTGGAGCCCTGGTCCAGGAAGACCCCACATGCTGCGGAGCAACTGGGTCTGTGCGCCACAACTACTGAGCCTGCGCTCTAGAGCCCCCAAGCCACAACTACTGAGCCCGCGTGCCACAACTACTGAAGCCCACACACCTAGAGCCTGTTCTCCGCAGCAAGAGAAGCCACTGCAATGAGAAGCCCGTGCACCACAACGAAGAGTAGCCCCAACTCACCGCAACTAGAGAAAGCCTGTGCACAGCAAAGAGGACCCAACACAGCCAAAAATAAATAATAAGTAAATACATAAATATTAAATGAGGAGTGAGGTGATTATAGGTTATACATTTGTAAAAAGGACCTTTCTTGCATTGTATAATCAAATCCTAGATGGGTGAACATTTTAAATTTAAAAATATAAATACTGTTAGAAGATATTTAATTTTAGTTCCTCTGACAGGAAAGTCAGGAACCAAAAAGAGAATATAATTGATTACATAAGGGAGGATCATGTTTATGAAGAAAACATTTTATAAGCCTTGTTAAAAGACTGACTCAGAAAAGCAACAGTGAATTTTAACAGTATTGTCAAAATAATTTCAATCCTAAAAATAGAAAACTTTGAACTTTTACTTCTGATTTACTTGTACCTTGTATGCAAAAATTCACGTATACGTGCACGAATTAATAAATGTTCATATGTAGTTGTACAGTATTTCTTAAACTTAAAAATATGTAAAAAAATTATAGTAGTTTCAGAAGTATCTTTAATGGAAGACCGTGTCTTTGAATGAAAAAAGTAATGCACCTCTTCGATTTATGGCTATTAGGAGTGTTTTCTTAAGGTATATTGTTATCGTCACTAAAAAATTAGTTATTTGCTAAGATGGGTACAGAGTAATGTTGATGTGAAAGGTTTGCAGTGTTACATTTTTTAATAAACAACGATTAGTCTAAAAATGTTTTCTTTCAGTCAGGTCAATTCAGTGAAGATATGATACCTACAGTGGGCTTCAACATGAGAAAAGTAACTAAAGGTAACGTCACAATAAAGGTACGTCAGCTTCTTGCCATACTTGATTTACATTGTTAGCAGATACAAACTAGGAATTTTTGTTTGTTTCTTTGCGTTTTACATGAGTATTGGCAGTTCTTAATTAATGAGTGGGCATGTTCCAAAAGAGTGTAAATCAAGTTTTTTTCTTTCTTGCTCTAATAGATCAAAATTTGTGTGTTGAAATGTTGTTAAGTGCCCATAAAAAACTTAGCATATGGGTTGGCAGAAGTATTATTTGGGATTTAGGTGTTCCTAGGAAAGAAAAATCCCATCTTCAAAGTATTTGGAATGTGATATTATTACATTATTTCATGAATGATATTTTATATTGAAAGATAATAATTGTTTATAATGTTGGTAATTTATTATTATATTTGTGGTAGCAAATATGGTAAACTAGTTTTCCCTTTCTTTGCTAATAAGCCCTAAAATTAAAACTATAAAACAGTAAAAAGTTAACTAGTTTAACATAACTTTGTTTCTAGAATAAGTTTCATAGGTTTGAATTGTGGACTGTTGGACTGTTTTTTAATTTATTAGTAGTATTATTTTTGGCTTCCTTGTTCATGGGGGGAGTTTACTTCTATAGCCTGAACTTTATGGCCATTTTACCCAGTTCTTGTGGTTCACAGAAGCTGTTTACTAAATTTATTCCGTAGCTTATCTAATGAAGCTGCTAATTTTTCGTGTGTGTCTTCATGCATGTTTCCAGTGTCTATGGCTAAATTGGAAGCCTCCTAAAGATAAATATCATGACTTCAGACCTTTACATAGCCCTACAGAGTAGCCATAATAGTGAAATTACTGTGGGTAGTAGCTTTCATATGGTAAAATAATTTTATATAAGAAAAGCACCTAGGTAGGAATGTTTTCTGTTATGTACAGAATAACTAAAAACGATTAGATGTTAATATATACCCAATCAGACAACTAAACTTAAATAGATTCTGAATGAACTGTTTTTTTCTGTCTTGGACTCCAAATATGGATGATGGCTGATTATGCAGATTCTAAGAGTGCTATTTCAAAAAATATGTATTTTCAATATTGGAAATTTATTGGTTAGCAGGCAAAGAAGGTATTGCACAGAAACTAAATATTTGCTCAAGCACCACCTATTAGATCTAATGTAAACATATTAAGTATGAGCTTCAAGTTTAGAAGTGGCCCCAAGAACTTCCAGATTAAGAGCTTGTTTGACCTCAAGTTTTTCAAAAGCAGTTTGGCTCTAACATTGTGGAAATGAGCATATCTGCTTGATCTTTCTCCCCTCCTTCTGCTGCTTTTTTCTTCAATGTGTTATTTGAAATATCTTTATTAAGAACTGTCTATCTTGATTTGAAGATTTGGGACATAGGAGGACAACCCCGCTTCCGGAGCATGTGGTCCCCCCCCCCCCCCCCCCGTCTCCCCCCTTGCAGTCAGTTTAGGTTTCAAGGGAAAAATGCTGTTTTTCATACTTTTAAAGGCTGAATTTTTATTTCGGGCAATAACAGTCTTTCTTCGATATTTTCTTAGTGTAATCCCATTAACATCAGACTTTAAAAATAGAATGATAGAATGAGAGTTTTATTTGCTTTTTATGTAGCTAAGAGCTAATGGATATAAATGTTTTACTATCATGTATTAGCCCCCTAAGAACAGTCTACCTATCTACTTATTTTATTGAAGTATAGTTGATTTTCAGTATTATGTTGTTTTCAGGTATACAGCATAGTGATTCAGTAGTTTTAATTATATTCCATTATATGTTATTACAAGATATTGGGTATAATTCGCTGTGCTATACAGTATATCCTTGTTGCTTATCTAATTTTATATATAGTAGTTAGTAGAACAGTCTATTAGAAAGTATTTTTGGGTGCCAGCCTTTTAAAATCGAGGACTTTATTTTAATGAACAGTTACAGTAGGATAAATTAAGAAAATTAAAACATCTATTAATTGTGATCATCAAAGAATATGGTGGAGACATATTGAGATCATTTTATGTTTCTGTAAAGCTACATGATAGATGCTGCAGATCGTGAAAAGATAGAAGCCTCTCGAAATGAACTACATAATCTTCTAGATAAGCCACAGTTACAAGGAATTCCAGTGAGTATGGAGTACTGGTTAATTTTACATTATATAATTATAATACTTATAATTATTATTACAAGTATAATTATACATTTTTATTTATTGTGTTTGAAATCAGTAAAATGTCTTTTGTTTTAAAGCGTGGAAGGCTTACATTTACTGAGTATCTGCCACATACTGTGCAGTGTGCTGTTTATTCATTTCTTAAACAGCTGTTTATTGAACTGTATGTAGTAGGAGCAGTGCTTAGTCCTGGGGAAATAGTAGTGAGCAGAAGTGAAAAGAAACATGCTGCCTACAATCATGGAGCTTATGGTTTAGTAGGAAACTAGGTAGATGATATGAAATCATTTGAATAATACGGCTGTGATCAGTGCTACAAGGGAGAGGTACAAGGGGCTATTGAGTTGTAAGTTAGAGGGGAGATTTAATGTAAGTGTCAGGGAAGAAGGAAGGATTCTCTGAGGAAATGCTGCTTGAGCTGAGATGTGAGGGATGTGACAGCTGGAGGAAAAGGGAGTTGCAGGCAGAGGCTCTTTGGTAGGAGGAGGTGGGGCACTGGGAGGAAGCCAGTGTTTCTTGAGCACAGAGCAGAGTGGGGAGGTTGGGGTAGAGTGTGGCGAGCTTGCGGCGGCCCGGACACTAGAAGAGGCTGTGTGGGGCAGGACTGGTTGTTTCTCTTTATTTATTTATTTATTTTAACATCTTTATTGGAGTATAATTGCTTTACAATGATGTGTTTCTGCTGTATAACAAAGTGAATCAGCTATACATATACATATGTCCCCATATCCCCTCCCTCTTGGGTCTCCCTCCCACCCTCTCTATCCCACCCCTCTAGGTGGTCACCAAGCACCGAGCTGATCTCCCTGTACTGTGCGCCTGCTTCCCTCTAGCTATCTATTTTATGTTTGGTAGTGTATGTATGTCCATGCCACTGTCTCACTTTGTCCCAGCTTACCCTTCCCCCTCCCCATATCCTCAAGTCCATTCTCTAGTAGGTCTGCATCTTTATTCCCGTCTTGCCCCTAGGTTCTTCTGATCATTTTTTTTCGTTTTAAACTCCATGTATATTTGTGTTAGCATTGGTATTTGTTTTTCTCTTTCTGACTTACTTCACTCTATGACAGTCTCTAGGTCCATCCACCTCACTACAAATAACTCAATTTCATTCCTTTTTATGGTTGTGTATACGTGCCACATCTTCTTTATCCATTCATCCGATGATGGACACTTAGGTTGCTTCCATCTCCTGGCTATTGTAAAAAGAGCTTCAATGAACATTGTGGTACATGACTCTTTGAGTTATGGTTTTCTCAGGGTATATGCCCAGTAGTGGGATTGCTGGGTCGTATGGTAGTTCTATTTGTAGTTTTTTAAAGAACCTCCATACTGTTCTCCATAGTGGCTGTACCAATTTACATTCCCACCAGCAGTGCAAAAGTGTTCCCTTTTGTTCTCCAGCATTTATTGTTTGTAGATTTTTTGTTGAGGGACATTCTGACTGGTCTGAGATATCTCATTGTAGTTTTGATTTGCATTTCTCTCATGCTTAATGATGTTGAGCATTCTGTCATGTGTTTGTTGGCAAGCTGTATATCTTTGGAGAAATGTCTATTTAGGTCTTCTGCCCATTTTTGGATTGGGTTGTTTGTTTTTTTGATATTAAGCTGCATGAGTTGCTTGTATGTTTTGGAGATTAATCCTTTGTCAGGTGCTTCATTTGCAAAGATTTTTTCCCATTCTGAGGGTTGTCTTTCCGTCTTGTTCATGGTTTCCTTTGTTGTGCAAAAGCTTTTAAGTTTCATTAGGTCCCATTTGTTTATTTTTTTTTAATTTCCATTTCTGTAGGAGGTGGGTCAAAAAGGATCTTGCTGTGATTTATGTCATAGAGTGTTCTGCCTATGTTTTCCTCTAAGAGTTTTACAGTGTCTGGCCTTACATTTAGTTCTTAAATCCATTTGGAGTTTATTTTTGTGTGTGGTGTTAGGGAGTGTTCTAATTTCATTCTTTTACATGTAGCTGTCCAGTTTTCCCAGTACCACTTATTGAAGAGGCTGTCTTTTCTCCACTGTATATTCTTGCCTCCTTTATCAAAGATAAGGTGACCATAGGTGCATGGGTTTATGTCTGGGCTTTCTGTCCTGTTCCATTGATCTGTATTTCTGTTTTTGTGCCAGTACCACACTGTCTTGATTACTGTAGCTTTGTAGTATAGTCTGAAGTCAGGGAGCCTGATTCCTCCAGCTCCGTTTCTCTTTCTCAAGATTGCTTTGGCTGTTCGGGGTCTTTTGTGTTTCCATACAAATTGTGAAATTTTTTGTTCTAGTTCTGTGAAAAATGCCAGTGGTAGTTTGATAGGGATTGCATTGAATCTGTAGATTGCTTTGGGTAGTATAGTCGTTTTCACAATGTTGTTTCTTCCAGTCCAAGAACATGGTATATCTCTCCATCTATTTGTATCATCATTAATTTCTTTCATCAGTGTCTTATAATTTTCTGCATATAGGTCTTTTGTCTCCTTAGGTATTCCTAGGTATTTTATTCTTCTTGTTGCAGTGGTAAATGGGAATGTTCCCTTAATTTCCCTTTCAGATTTTTCATCATTAGTGTATAGGAATGCAAGAGATTTCTGTGCATTAATTTTGTATCCTGCTACTTTCCCAAATTCATTGATTAGCTCTAGTAGTTTTCTGGTAGCATCTTTAGGATTCTCTATGTATAGTGTCATGTCATCTGCAAACAGTGACAGCTTTACTTCTTCTTTTCCGATTTGGATTCCTTTTATTTCTTCTCTGATTGCTGTGGCTAAAACTTCCAAAACTATGTTAAATAATAGTGGTGAGAGTGGGCAACCTTGTCTTGTTCCTGATATTAGTGGAAATGCTTTAGTTTTCACCATTGAGGATGAAGTTGGCTGTGGGTTTGTCATATATGGCCTTTATTATGTTGAAGAAAGTTCCCTCTATGCCTACTTTCTGCAAGGTTTTTATCATATTTGGGTGTTGAATTTTGTCGAAAGCTTTCTCTGCATCGATTGAGATGATCATATGGTTTTTCTCCTTCAGTTTGTTAATGTGGTGTATCACGTTGCTTGATTTGCGTATATTGAAGAGTCCTTGTATTCCTGGGATAAACCCCACTTGATCTTGCTGTATGATCCTTTTAATGTGCTGTTGGATTCTGTTTGCTAGTATTTTTTTAGGATTTTTGCATCTGTGTTCATCAGTGATATTGGCCTGTAGTTTTCTTTCTTTGTGACATCTTTGTCTGGTTTTGGTATCAGGGTGATTGTGGCCTTGTAGAATGAGTTTGGGAGTATTCCTCCCTCTGCTATATTTTGGAAGAGTTTGAGAAGGATGGGTGTTAGCTCTTCTCTAAATGTTTGATAGAATTTGCCTGTGAAGCTATCGGGTCCTGGGCTTTTGTTTGTTGGAAGATTTTTAAGCACAGTTTCAACTTCAGTGCTGTGATAGGTCTGTTCATATTTTCTTTTTCTTCCTGACTCAGTCTCGGAAGGTTGTGCATTTCTAAGAATCTGTCCATTTCTTCCAGGTTGTCCTTTTTATTGGCATAGAGTTGCTTGTAGTAATCTCTCGTGATCCTTTGTATTTCTGCAGTGTCGGTTGTTACTTCTCCTTTTTCATTTCTAATTCTATTGACTTGAGTCGTCTCCCTTTTTTTCTTGATAAGTCTGGCTAATGGTTTATCAATTTTGTCTTCTCAGTTTTAGTTTTATTGATCTTTGCTATTGTTTCCTTCATTTCTTTTTCATTTATTTCTGATCCGATCTTTATGATTTCTTTCCTTCTGCTAACTTTGGGGGTTTTTTTTTGTTCTTCTTTCTCTAATTGCTTTAGGTGTAAGGTTAGGTTGTTTATTTGAGGTGTTGTTTGTTTCTTAAGGTAGGATTGTATTGCTATAAACTTCCCTCTTAGAACTCCTTTGCTGCACCCCATAGGTTTTGGGTCATCGTGTTTTCATTGTCATTTGTTTCTAGGTATTTTTTGCTTTCCTCTTTGATTTCTTCAGTGATCTCTTGGTTATTAAGTAGTGTGTTGTTTAGCCTCCATGTGTTTGTATTTCTTACAGATTTTTCCCTGTAATTGATAGCTAGTCTCATAACGTTGTGGTCGAAAAGATACTTGATACAATTTCAATTTTCTTAAATTTACCAAGGCTTGATTTGTGACCCAAGATGTGATCTATCCTGGAGAATGTTCCATGAGCAGTTGAGAAGAATGTGTATTCTGTTGTTTTTGGATGGAATGTCCTGTAAATATCAATTAAGTCTATCTTGTTTAATGTATCATTTAAAGCTTGTGGTTCCTTATTTATTTTCATTTTGGATGATCTGTCCATTGGTGAAAGTGGGGTGTTAAAGTCCCCTACTATGATTGTGTTACTGTCGATTCCCTGTTTTATGGCTGTTAGTGTTTGCCTTATGTATTTAGGTGCTCCTATGTTGGGTGCATAAATATTTAGAATTGTTATATCTTCTTCTTGGATTGATCCCTTGATCATTATGTAGTGTCCTTCTTTGTCTCTTGTAATAGTCTGTGTTTTAAAGTCTGTTTTGTCTGATATGAGAATTGCTACTCCAGCTTTCTTTTGATTTCCATTTGCATGGAATATCTTTTTCCATCCCCTCACTTTCAGTCTGTATGTGTCCCTAGGTCTGAAGTGGGTCTCTTGTAGACAGCATATATGCAGGTCTTGTTTTTGTATGCATTCAGCCAGTCTATGTCTTTTGGTTGGAGCATTTAACCATTTATATTTAAGGTAATTATCAATATGTATGTTCCTGTTACCATTTTCTTAAGTGTTTTGGCTTTATTATTGTAGGTCTTTTCCTTGTCTTTATTTTCCTGCCTAGGAAGTTTCTTTAACATTTGTTGTAAAGCTGGTTTGGTTGTGCTGAATTCTCTTAGCTTTTGCTTGTCTGTAAAGCTTTTAATTTCTCTGTCAAATCTGAATGAGATCCTTGCTGGGTAGAGTAATCTTGTTTGTAGATT